GTGTGTGTGTGTGTGTGTGTGTAATATATATATATATATATATATATATATATATATATATATATATAATATATGTATATGTATATGTATGTATATATATATATATATATATATATATATATATATATATATATATATATATATATATATATGTATGTATGTATATATTATATAATATATATTATATATATATATATATATATATATATATATATATATATATATAATATATACATATATATATATATATATATATATATATATATATATATATATATATATATATATTATATATATATATATATATAATGTGTATGTGTGTGTGTGTGTGTGTGTGTGTGTTGTATGTATTATATATATATATTATATTATAATATATGTATATATATATATATATATATATATATATATATATAATATATATATATATATATATATTATATATATATATATATATATGTATATATATATATTGTAAGGGAATGAAGGATTCCTTGTCTGATATTATATATATAGAATTAAGATCAAGAATTTATTTGATTTAATGTATTAACAAGAGAATAATTATTTAATTTCATTTAGTTTGTAACATCGGCTACAGTGACGTTAGAGTTGTACGAACGCCCTACAAAAACGCATTGTTGTAAATCTGCAGAGCCCCGCTAGAGAGCCACGTGAGACGCCTTGTGCTGCGTACTTTTAAATTATTCTTGTTTTGTGAAGATATGGGCTAGCCACACTCACAATCACGTGCACGCTCATGCGTACGTGCATATTGTCATCTTGCAAGTTGGATACACTGCTCATACCTACCAGCTTGTGAACATGACAATAAAGGTTTAACTGACTGCTAGTGTTTTACTGGAGGCAGTACAGTGAAAAGAGTTGCTAGCCCTTCTTCTAAGGCTAAAGTGAAAAGAGTAGCTAGCCATCTTCCAAGCCTATAGTAAGAATAGTTGCCAGCCATTTTCTAAGCTTAGAGTGAGAAGAGTGAGATATCTAACAAGCTGAGTGAAAAGAGTCAGCCTTCTGTTGAGTGAAGAGTTATACAACTATCAACAAAGGAAAGTCTCTCTCAGCATCTTGCCGAATAACTTCAGGAGAATTGTTCAGCATGTCGACTACAAGCAACGCAGACGTTCACATTAAAATGGAAGCGGAGGAGGATCCACAGCAGGAACCCCACCCACAGTTAGACCCAGATGAAACAAGACCGTCTGGAGCAAGAATAAGGACCCTTACAGAAAAAGGAGAAGAACTGTACATTTCCACAACCACCAAATATTTGGATCAGCTCTCTCAAGTGCAGTGTACAGTTGACGACCTAATGTTAGGGTATTACAAAGGCGGTGCAGGCGCAGAAAGCGATAGTGAATATAAGGAAGCTCTTGAAAAGAATTTGGATTCCTATTCAAGGTGTGTAGATCAGTTTTTAGAGTATTTGAGTAGAACAAATACGGAAGAAAGCAGGAAAGATTATATGAAGTACAAAGCAAAAAGTGATGTGATCATACGTGATATAAAGAGTTAGAATATCTTGATAAAAGATATGCAGTTGAAGAAGTTAAGTCTGAGTGCTCGGAGAAATTAAGTGCTAAATCAGTTGCAGAAAGTGTCTCAGCTATGTTGTTAAGTAAAAGAATACAAGCTGAAGCCACAAAGGTTAAGCTTGAAAGTGCATTGAAAGAAGCAGAAATAAAGAAAAGAAAATTACAGTGTGAGGAGGCAGAAATTGAAGCAGAATTAGAATTATGTGTGTCTCGTCGCAATGCTCAATTGGCTGAAGTTGAGTACAGAGTAGTGTGTGAAGAAAGTAGTGATAAGTTGTCATCTATTTCAGGTAGAATACCTGGTGTACAGTTACAACAGAAAGTTCTTTCACAAGAACTCCTGCAGCAAGAGGCAGCAGATTCTTTAAGTCGTGTCAAGCAGTACGTGGAAGATCAGAACAAGGTACCAGAATTTGATCTCAACCCTTCTTTGGAACAAGCTATGCCTGTCATACAACCTCTTCGTAGTCAGCCCAGTGATGCCAAGGCTAATCCTGTGAGTAACAGTTGTGGAGAATTGTCGCGTTTCCTTTTGAAGAAGGAACTTTCCCTGGCACGTTTCAGTCCATTTGATGATCGTCCTGAGTCTTATGTGCCTTGGAAAACTACTTTTCAGCAGACCATTCAAGATCTGCATGTTACGTCTTTGGAAGAAGTTGACCTTTTACTCCGGTGGCTGGGCCCTGAGTCGTCCAAATTTGCACAGAGTATAAGGACTTCCAATATACATGATCCAAGTAAGTGCATCAAGTTGATATGGAAGAGGCTTGAAGATAGATATGGCAGTCCTGAGATTATTGAAGCATCTATCAAGAAGAAACTAGAAAAGTTTCCTAAGGTTACGTTCAGAGATCCCAAGAAACTGTATGATCTGCATGATCTTCTTTGCGAAGTACAGTCGCTTAAAGAAAATCCACTTTACGAGAAACTGTTTGGACACTTTGACACATCTGCAGGAATAAACCCTGTGATAAGCAAGTTACCAGTACAAGAAAATGGCGAGACAAAGCATCCAACTACAAGAAAACACAAGGTGTGTTATTCCCACCCTTTTCTTATTTTGTAGACTTCATTTCTGACGTTGCACAAATCCATAATGATCCAGGATTTAATTTTGAGCCAGAAGTAAAATCTCATACAGACAAGACTTCAAAGCTAGATAAATTTAAAGTAACTACAAAGAAGACTGTAGTGCCTGATGAAGAAGCCCTTAAATGTATAATACATGGGACCAACCATTCTCTACATGAATGTAAAAGCTTTAAGTCAAAGTCTTTAGAAGAACGCAAAAAAATTCTGAAAGAAAATAGAATATGTTTTAAGTGTTGCATCTCGAAGAACCACTTAAGTAGAGATTGTCCAGAGGACATAACCTGTAAAGACTGTGGAAGTAAATACCATTGCACTGCTATGCATTTGAAGAAATTTCAGTCTGTTCCTGAGACAAGTACTAAGGCTCATGGCAGGGAGAAGCCGGAGCAGAGTGTTGTTAAAGAGTCAGTACGTGAACAAGCTTTAGATGTGACCAACAAGAGTACTGGTGTATGTGAGGAATTTCCTGGAAAGTCTTGTGCTAAAATTTTGCCAGTTTACGTTTTTCATGAGAGTAACCCGAGGAAGCGTATGAAGTCATATGTTATATTAGATGATCAGAGTAACAAATCTTTAGCTAAAGGAGAGCTTTTAGATTTCTTTGATGTTCGCTCTGTGGCAGAGGAATACATCATAACTAGTTGCTCTGGCCGTTCAGTTATGACAGGAAGGAAAGCTGGTGGACTATGCATACAAGCTGTTGATGGTAGTCTACAGATGAGCCTTCCTACAGTCATCGAATGTGATGAACTTCCTAATAATAGGACTGAGATTCCAACTCCCAACAGAAATTTCACCTCTTGGTGATCAGGATCAGATTCAATTATTGATTGGTAGGGATCTTCCTGAAGCTCACCATGTATTAGATCGAGTAATAGGTCCACCAGGTACACCCTTTGCCCAGAAGATGAAGTTAGGCTGGGTAATTATAGGTGAAGTCTGCCTGGGGAAGCATCACAAAAATGTGAATGTAAGGAAAATATATGTAAATCCTGATGGTCGTCCATCAGTCTTGAAGCCTTGTCCAAGTTGTATATGTGTACAAGAGGACACAGGATATCACAGCGGTTTTACACCATGGAAGGAAAATAATATTGGTTCTACAGTGTTTCACCGAACAAAAAATGATGAACCTAGAAAATCCACAGAAGACAAAATGTTCTTAAAGTTAATGGAGAAAGAATTTGCCAAAGAACCAGCAGGTAACTGGAGTGCACCTTTACCTTTTAAGCCCTTAAAGAAAAGGTTGCCATTGCTGTGAGACGTGCCAATAGCCTAGCCAAGAGTTTTCAGTTCAATTCTGTTAAAAGAGAACATTTCTTAGACTTTATGAAAAAGCTTTTGGAAAGAGGTCATGCTGAAATAGCACCACCTTTGAAAGAAAATGAAGAATGTTGGTATCTTCCAGTGTTTGGAGTGTATCATCCAAAGAAACCTAGTCGTATCAGGTGTGTTTTTGACTCTGCTGCTAAGTTTAGAGGTACATCATTGAATGATGTGTTGATGACAGGTCCTGACCTAAATAATTCTCTGTTGGGTGTACTTCTACGTTTTCGAAAGAATAAAGTGAACCGTATTCACATGTCAGCTAAGCCAGAGCAATGGAATTATGTTCCTACATCTGTGAATCCAGCTGATCGAGCAACTCCCTCTATGATGAATGATTTCTCGTGTGACGACATATGGCTGAAAGGACCCGAAACATTCTTGAGTAGGCATCACGATCTGGCTCAAGAAACTCTACAGCTAGTTCAACCAGAATATGATAAGGAAGTAAGGCCAGATGCTCTGGTAAAGGCAGCTAAAACCTGTGTGATAGACAATTTATCAATTGGGTGTCACAGATTTGAAAGGTTCTCTGAGTGGTATCGCCTAATAAATGCTGTTGCTTTATTGCAGAGATGTGCATGTGCCAAATCATTTTAAGATAGAACTGATAGAAGTGTAGAGTCTTTCAGAAAAGCTGAAATATTTGTGATCAAAGCAGTTCAAAAGGAAACTTACAAAGAAGAAATTAGACTTCTTGAAGCAAAAATGCATCTTCCAAAATCTAGCTCGATTATGGCTCTCAACCCGTACTTAGATGAAGATGGTGTGTTAAGGGTTGGCGGAAGATTGCAACAATCAAGTCTTGGAAGTTACCAGAAACATCCAATCATTTTGCCTGGTAAAAGTCATATTTCTACACTTATAGTACGTCACTATCACCAAAGTGTTCGACACCAAGGACGTCATCTTACAGAAGGAGCTGTTAGATCTGGTGGATATTGGATTACAGGCGTGAAACGGTTGATCTCATCAATCTTACACTCATGTGTCCAGTGTAGAAAGTTACGAGGTAAAGAAGAAGTCCAGTAGATGAGTGATCTACCAGCAGATCGCTTAGAGCATGCTCCACCCTTTACCAATGTTGGAGTTGATGCCTCTGGACCTTGGACTATAATGACACACAGAACTCGTGGTGGATCAGCAAATTCTAAACGGTGGGCTATTTTGTTCACTTGTCTTACAACAAGAGCAATACACATTGAGTTGGTAGAAGAAATGTCCTCTTCAGCTTTTATTAATGCACTTAAAAGATTTGAAGCTCTCAGAGGTAAAGTTAAACTGTATAGATCTGACCGAGGAACCAACTTTGTTGGTGCAACTGATAGCCTCAAGATAGATGCAGTAAATGTGGAAGAAAAGAAGATAGTAAACCATCTGTACCAAACAGGCACTAAATGGATCTTCAACGCTCCCCATTCATCACATATGGGAGGTGTATGGGAACGCCTCATTCAAATCTGCCGATAACTCCTTATAAAACTTTGACGCATGAAGTGTTATCAACCTTCATGGCAGAAGTATGTGCCATAGTGAACAATTGACCAATAGTGAACGTATCAACTGATCCAGAAAACCCTTTAATCTTGTCACCTGCCACCATTCTTACACAGAAAGTTGGAGTAGACCATGTAGAAGATTCAGTAGGAGAAATTGATACAAAAGACCTTTTGAAAACAGAATGGAAATGTGTTTCTGCCCTCTCAGAAATATTTTGGAATCGTTGGAAGAAAGAATATCTGCACACACTCCAAGAACGTAGAAAATGGTGTTGTGCAAAACCTAGTCTCACTGAAGGTGATGTTGTGTTATTGAAAGACAGAAGTGTTTGTCATACACAATGGCCATATGTAATTGTTGTAAGAGCTATCCAAAGTGAAGATGGCAAAGTAAGGAAAGTGGAATTAAAGGTTATGAGAGATGGAAAGCCAGTTGTGTACACAAGACCAATTTCAGAGTTAATTCTTTTGGTTTCTGGTGCTAAGTAG